CTAGCTGAGCCATGCCTATAAGACCTAGCCTAGAAGCCAAGTTAAGCCCTGTAAAATCAAAATGTTTTGATGGACTGTTAAGTTCTAGTTGAGAACCTGAAGTCTAGCAACCTGCAAACATGCTTACACTAAAACCAGTTCCTGGCCAAGAAGAACACGAAGAGTTTGGTTGTCTCCTAGGAGGCTGGAAAGGTCTCATATAGCTTCTACTGCATGCCTGTGGGTGGCTTGGGGGGCGGGGGGAGAATTCAAGCTGTTTAAAGTCATAACATGTCTTATACCTTTGTTAGAAAGTTCTAGTTGGCTAGTTTGGGGAGAGGGAAATATTTTTAGGAAGCATCTGTTATCCTTTGAGGTTACTCTGGATTGGAAGGAGCAGACTGCACATTCCATGAGACAGACATGAATGCATTTTTTAAAATTACCATTATGTGTAAGAAACCCAGAAAGGAATATAAAGTGCATGGTATGTTTCTAGAGGGAAAAACAAACCAACGGTAATCTGGCCATCCTATAAATTTGTTTTAATTGTTTTAAAAGGTTTTACTGTACACAGGGGAACAAAAAAAGCAAATAGAAGATTTATTGCAGTGTAAAAATTCCCACTACTGCGAGCATTAGCATGGTGTGCAAAGTTCAAAAAATTATGTTTATTTTCTTGTTAATCACGTCCTCTTGAGGAACTCCTAGTGACTTTGTTATCTTAGCCTAAATGGGAATTATCCTCCATATTCCAAGAACTGAGTGAGGTTTACTTAGCTCTATCTTGTGAGTATTTGGTGATATTTGAATCAGGAACTTCCTGATTTGTAGTTAAGTTTCTGAGCCTGATAATGCAAACTAAAGGCTCTTCCACACGATAGCATAAAAGTCTCCTCTAAAGTGAAGGAACTGACAGAAAACTAGGCTGCCTTAAAGAAGCCTTAGCTACACTTCCAAACTCTACTCTGCCCGGGCAGAGGTTCTGTCTGCATTAGAAGTGTGTCTGTTGAGGGGGAGAATCAGAGTGGGGGAAGCCTCCTTTGGTGCCAGTTCTCCAATTCCACAAAGAACTGACAGCAGAAGACTTGCGTCCCCCTTCCCCACTCTGCAGGAGGAAGAGCGTCTTTGTGGTGCTAGGAGAACTGGCAACCAAAATGCCCTCTTCCCTTCCTTCTCTCCCCATATTTCCTGCCTTGCCTGGATTGGCAAGAAGGGTAACAGAGATCTTTGGTAGAGTGGGAGAGCCCTGAGTCTCCCACTGCCAACAGATGAGCAGCTCTGAAAACTAGTGGTCTGGGACCAGAGCAGGGAATGTAACAGGGGAGCCAGTAGCAGAGGGCAACAGCCCCTCCCTCCAGCTTATCTTGGAAGAGTTCATTGAAGCCTGACCATTTGGAATGGCTAGTGCTGGCAGAGGCTGAAGAACACTGTGTTTGTGGCAGAGCAAGAAATTATGGAAGGAGGCTGCCTTCGTGGTGGGCCACCTGGGAGGGGAATATCATGCATGTCCTCAAACAAAGGTTAGCGGTGTCTTTAGGCTAAAGCAAGCAGAATGTATGGATGAGCCTTTTACCTTTCTTGGAAACAAATTAATGTGGGATTTTAAATCCTACCTGATTATGACACAGGTTTTTACAGGCCAACTTTAACCTATTTTATCAGAAGTATCTACCTTTTGTGCATCTATCTATCTATCTATCTATCTATCTATCTATCTATCTATCTATCTATCTATCATCTATCATCATTCTCTCTCTCCCCCTCCCCCTCTTCTGGGCACAAAAAGAGATTTTTTTTTCTTTAAATCTAAGTGAGTCCTTAAGGTCAAACAACAGAACAGATAATAGAGTATAAACACTGGGTTGCAGGCATTTATTCCATTGGAGCTTCTGTATTTGCAGCAGCAGATAAGTGTTTGGGAAAGAAAGAAAAAGAGAAAGAGAAAGAAAGAGAGAAAGAGAAAGAGAAAGAGTACAGTTAAAAGATGGAACAAGATGTAGTGTTACAGGACTTAAATGGGGATTACAAAATAGAAATATTCTATCTGTGTTAGAGATGATGAGAGATACTGCTTCCAAGATGAGAAGTACCATATCTCTCAATATCAGACACTGGGGGACAAAAGTAGGACAGTGCTCTTGCCTTCATTTCATACCTGCAGGCTTCCATGGTTGGCTATCATGAAGAAATTTACCGGACTTCTTATAGTTTATTACTCCTGGTGGGAATCATTATGGGCTACTTTCTTAATGGGAGCGCTATCACTTTGAAATGAGCAAGAACCAAGGGACCAGGCAGACTTATTTGTTCCCATGCTACTAACCAAGACAGTGGAAATAGTCAAAGGATTTGGGAAATAGAAGGAATGAGCTTCTGTTTCTATTTCTGTATATCATTTCACTCTATTATTAAGTGAAATCAAGTAGCTGAAGGATAGCTTCTAGACTTCCTGATGGACAGTTCTTAGTTTTACCAATCAAAAAGTGCTCTGAAGCTCTCCATTTTTTCTCCTCTTCAATGGATTTCTTCGTGGTGGGAAAATGCAAAAAGCTACAAGTAAAAGACTGTGTAAAAATGCCATGAATGGAACAGGGCAATTTTATCAAGGAAAAAGAATTCCTAATTTAGAATGACTCCCTTATTCATCTGCTAATTCTACTGTTGGCTAGATAAGTCTTAGAAAAATGTATCCTTCCACCCAGATATGCATTGTTACTTACCCCAAAAGGAATAATGTGATATATATATGTATGTATGTGTATATATATATGTATGTATGTATGTATGTATGTATGTATGTATGTATGTATGTTGCCTTAGGGAAAACTTCAATGTGTATCTTGAGCAACGTTTCTCTCTTATTAAATGTCTGGGTCTTTTTTTTTTTTTTTTAGCAAGTCCTTATGTGTTTTGTGCTTCAGCCATATAGACCTAAATTTATTTTGGTTAAACGTACCACCTTTTGTCATGCTTAAAAGGATAACTTCTTTTTAAAACCTTGAGTGCTGGCTACAAGTAAAAAAAGCTTTTTGCACAAGCTGACCAGAAATCTATAGTAGTATATCTGTATTGCAATAGAGTATGTTGCCTGAGTGTAGTTTAGAGGCTGCTGTGCATAAAATCAATGTACCTTTGACATTACTTCTTTGACATTACTTTCCCCCAGTGCTGATGTGGTTGGGCAAATATGCCTATCCAAAAGCTTAAGGGGAACAGCAAAGAGGTGGCTGAAGTATGTAGCCGTTGCGAAAGCCCAAGATCCTAGCACACCCAGCTTTATTTTCATCATTAAACAAACTGATAATAAACTGCAGACATGAGGAAACAGCAAATACTAAAGCTTACAGGGGTGGTACCTATTCAGTGAAAGATTAAAGAATGGGTACAGAGTTCGGTTGCTTAAAATCGGCTTCCCACCCACCTAATACAATAGCAGAGAACCCGATAGTGAGAAAAGATAAAGCAGAGGGTGGTGCAAGACCCGTGGGGGGGCAGACCTATGGCTCCAATGCTGGGAGGAAGGGAAGGGGAAGAAGGATTAATGGCCTGTTTCATTTTTGTGCGGAGCAGCTGCCCGAAACCTGTTAAACCAGGTAGTCTGCTATGGACTGATGCAGGCTGTCTTTAAAAAAAAAAAAAAAACTTTAAATTTTATTGGGAGCATTTGTAGAACAGCTAGCAAGGATTTAGAGCAGGGTTTCCCAACCTTGGGAACTTTAAGATGTGTGGATTTCAACTCCCAGAATTCCCCAGCCAGCCAGTTCTGGGTGTTGAAGTCCACATATCTTACAGTTCCCAAGGTTGGGAAACCCTGATTTAGAAGGATGCTTCTAAGCTGGGCATCTGCAAAGCCCAGTCTACTCATCTGCAAAGCCCTCTTTCTTCCTCCTCTCATTTCTGCCTTTTCTTTTAAAATCCACATTGCCATCTGAGTATATTGACTACCGCCATCTTTGAATTTGAGACCCTCAGTATCCTTCATAATATTCATGGGGTGGCATAAGACATTAGAGTAAAGCAAGTCTTGTCTCTTCACTTTCATGCATCTGATTAGTATAGCTTTTCCAAACGTGCTGTCCTCTGGATGTGTTGGGACAACAGCTCCCTGAATTCCCATCCAGAATGTCCAATGACTCACCCTGGCTGGGAACTGTAGAGTTGCAATTTCAATGCATCTGAAATGCACCTGGTAAGGGAAGAATGGGTTGCAATATGATATACTGTGAAGAGACTACTGTAGGTATGAAGGATGCTGTATGCATGATTCAAAGCTCCTCTTCTTCAGAAAACGTGTTGTAGAAGAGATCCTTGTTTTCCAGAAGGCTTGATCACCCAGAGAAGCCCTATAGTCTTACAACTACAGTATATGGGCAAAGATATATAGGCTGGGGGTGGTCTTAATCATCTTGCTATTTTTCTATACTCACCACCAGTACACCGTTTCATGGTTCTGCCTGTCTGGGATGTAGATTGGTATGAAGTTTGATCATGCAAGAAAGTCTGTGTGGGTAGACTTAGTGCTTTTTACGCTGTAAGCGAAAAGTAAGAGTGATAGCTGAAGTGGCTAAGTTTGCGTGCTAACGAATTCTTCAGAAAGTTAAAAGGGGACAGTGATAGGTTCCAACAGGATCTTTCCAGAATGGGAGGATGGCATTAAGATGGTAAATATAAATCAGTATAAGGAAGTGTCAAATGATACACACTGGGGCAAAAAATGAAATTATATCCATGTGAAAGGCTTCTGAGCTAGAGATGACTGGCCAGGATGGGATCCTGAGGTAATGGTGGATAGCTCAAGGAAGTCAAGGATTTATAAAACAACACATAACAGGGTATTTATGTGCCGTTTGAGGTGCCAAGGTAACAAAGAGTTGGAATGTGGTCTCAAATGCCCTCCAAAATTGTGTCCAAATTGTAATTTTTAATGTGAAATAAGGAGCAAGTTATTAAATATGTGTTAATCTTATTGTATTTAAGTAATGTTATGTAATCTTATTTATCTTTACATCAAATCAAAGTTAGGATTGATGTCCAAGTCTTATTAACTTTATCCTGTTCATACCAACTTTTTGGAATGCAGCATTCAGCTTGTAAACCAAAGGCCAAGTATAGTCCATGGACTCCAAATTGTGCCCCTCTACTTTTAGCAAATGAATAGTTAAATAATAGAATTTGCTACTGCAATGTGTGATAGTGTTGCTCAATTTCTGCATACTATTTCCCAGCCTGCAGATGTCCCAGTGATGTCTGGTTAACCATAATAAGAAACATGATATTAGATTTGATGGACCAGCTGGTTTCCTAAGTCTTAAGGCTTCTTAAGTGGCCTTTCCCCACTTATATCTAACCACAGCATAAACATGCCCCATTAATATATTTTTTTCTGCTTGTCCCTGCAGTTTTGCCTTCATTTCATCCCCAGCTCATGTCAATGAAACAGCTATAACATTGTCCTCAGCTAGGTTGTTATTAAAACGTATTATCCTGGCAGAATAAAAAGACAGCCTCGCATTTTGTACAAATCTGTTAGGGTTTTGTCACCCATTACCTTGGAGGGAAGTCAGGTGACTGCAGTGACTTGAAGTAGGATAGGGATCAGCAGTGAGGACAGCACATTTCAAATGGGTGTAATTTTCTGCTAGCTCAAGGGTGGATGGGTGGAGAGCACTTCAACCTGGCAGTGGACAAAGATATGGGACATGAGGTGAGATGCTGGCGGAAGAAGGGGACCTAGAAAGCATTTTCCCTGATTTTGGAATTTAGCTTTAAGAAAAATGAGCAACAAAATGTTTTGGGGAAGGGTGGTGGTAGGAAATGTTTAAATGACACCTTGCATTCAGTTTTTAATTCCTGCAAATCTCCCTCCTACATTTTAATATTTCAAGCCAGGTTTGGAAAATCTGGAAATCTCTGTTTGTCTTAAGCTACATAATTCATCCCTGAATCTTCCCTCCCCAAATGTCCAGTAGGTAGTGGTGTAGTAATTCAGTGAATTAACAGATGTAAGCTGGGGAAGACTATGTCTAGCAGCTTATACCTCTTTCTAAGGGAAGCTGGTGAGCTGCTGTTAAGCATTGAGCAAGAGCTGGTCAAAAGGTATTGCACACAGTCTGGTGACACACCCTGCAGCAAATATTTTAAAACAGCCTCTTTAAGTGTATCTCAGAAAGCCAACCTTGTACTCAGCAGCAGTTATTCTTGTCCCACCACATTGCAAATTGCAGGATGTAGCAGGGGAATCCAGTTTGTGCATGAAGTCAGAATTACTTCTTGCCTAACAATAGAGTTTGGTTGCAGGTAAGTCCTGGGGAAGGTTCCAAGTCCAAGCCATAGTGGAGACCATCTGTAGTTAAAAAAAAAAAAAAGGGATGTAGATGCCTTTTGAGGTCTGAGATGGGAGAGAAGATATCTCTGGCCTGTCCTGTGAACACAACAGCAATGATCTTTGACATCGTTCAGAGAAAGGGAGAGCCCTTTTTGAAACTTCCTGTCATGCTGTAATACCCCAATTTTCACACCTAGGACCTGCTGTGTGTCTCTCCTCACTCCCCAAAACACTCTAGTGTTCAGCGTTGTGTCCTACTTAAAGATTACTTTCTGAAATATGGATTCACAGTGCTAGAACCTCCATCACGCTGGCTGTGTTTGCGTGGTATACTGAACCACAAACTAGAAATCCAGCCCCATGTGGTGAGCTGATGGATCATCCTGTTGTGTACACATAGACAATTGGCTTGACTTCAGCTGTGTGTGAATGAGCATGTCCTGCAAGCACAGCTACTGGCTCAGTTGAGGTGCTCACTGACTATGGCATTTTCTTTCATAATTCTTCAGCAACATCTATTAGCTGTAATGCTGTGCTCAGTGGAAGAAGAATGGCTTGGCTTCATTGACCAGAAACAAAACAATTGTCAATTTGGCCCTGCACGTTTGGACTTTCCTTGTCCTAATTTGTACTCCTAGAACTGCCCCTTCACCGGAAGTATCTGCAGGGCGGGGGAAGTCAAGATGGTGGCTGCAACAGTACAATTAAGCTCTGCCTCTTTTTTATGTGCATCAGGCGTGGAAAGCAAGGGACGTTTACAAATGAGAGGACATTGTTTTCTGCAAACGAAGCAGGGCAATAGCATGACAAAACGCTTCAGTATAAGCAGAGAAAGACAGAAAAGACAAGTTTGGACTCTTAGATGTCTTAGTGTTGGCGATCCGCAATTGCTGAAGTCTTCTGGTGCTCCTGCCTGTTAACAATATTTAAGTTGCTCATCTATCAACGCTCAGCCTGTATATTTGCAAATAGGTGCAAACATGACAAAACACCAGTCAGCCACTAGTACTTTTTCACCACCCAGTGAATCTTTGCTCGTAGGACTTCTTGCCACTTGGAGAAGTGGAATGAGTGAAATAATGATTAGAACACGGACAATGGAAATGTTTCCTTCACTTCTGCAAGTAACTCTACCCATAGCTATAGGGCGCTGTCAATCATTTCCCCCTCTAACCATTCAGAACAATGATCTTCACTTCCACTGACCTCTAATTGCTGAGAACATGCAGAGATCCCTTTTGAGCCAATTAGTACTCCCTCCAGCTGCCCGCTAGGAGGGTGCAGATATCAGTATACAGTATAATCTACTCCTGGCCGCTGAGCTGATGCAGCTCATGGACTTATAACATCTCCTCACCCAGCCACCATTAAAGGAAATAAAACTAAATAAATAACTGCGAGCCAACCTTGCTTTCAGCACATGCATACATTTGTCTGTTCACCAGGAAGTCTGACCAGTTATAAAAGGAACAGTTGCAAAGCTGTCAAGCCCTACTCCCCTTGAATTAGTGAAGGTAATATTTTGGCTTTCTATCAATAGCTGTAACATGTTTTTCCACTGCTGGGAGGGGGATGAAACATTCTTCACAGACCATACAGACAGGCTTGTGGGGAAGCAGATGGGGGAAATCATGGCTACCTTGAATTTGGGAGGGGGGAGAGGCAAGAGTTCCCCCACCCACGCACCCCTGGGAAAACAGGCCACTCATCTGCTCCACTATGTTGTGAAAAAGGAAACACCTTTGCTTTGCTTGCTGATGAATTACAGTGGATCCAGACCAAAAATGATCTGGCTTCCTAAGCCAGCCAATATCATGACACCATGATATTGTTGCAGGTCCAGAGTTGCTTCTGAAGCAACAGAAAGACCTTTTGTGGCAGTGCCCATACAGATGTCCTTCAAAGAGTGGATCAGGAACCTCGAGACCTGGTGATTATAGTTTGGTACAAGGAACTAAACAGTTCATGTTAGCAGTGCTAATAATGTATTGTTATTGTGTTTTTTTAAAACAAATACTTCCACCTGGAAGAAAACTTAAAACATGTATTACCTGAGGCTACTCTGCCTGGCCTCACTTGGGCATTGCTAATTTCTGTTTCTCCACAAACAAGTGGGTTGTCAGCTCCTGAAATAAAAAGATTTCCAATAGAAGAGAATATCTGTAGCTCGGGGTTGAACTGTAGAGTCCTTGGTGCTCTCTGAGCTTGGTTGTTTTTTGCAGACGTTTCATTACCCGATTAGGTAACATCATCAGTACTGTTAGCTTCTAGCTGAGAAGGGCAAATGCAAATATTCTCAAGGTTGGGAAACCAAGGAAGAAGGAAGCTGTCCCATATGGACAGCTGATAAGGTACTGACCGATTGATACATCATAGTAAGTCATGGTTTGTTTACAAGTATTTATTGAATCACAATTGTCTGGTTTCTCATAACATCTTAACATCTTAAACCATGGTTGTCAAAGCTCAACCATGGAACACAACAGATTCAAACAAAGTACAGGTAGTCCTTGACTCACAACCATTCATTCAGTGACCATTTGAAGTTACAGTGGTGCTGAACGAAGGGACTTATGACCAGTCCCTGAAGTTATGGCTGTTGCTGCGCCCCCATGGTCATGTGATCAAAATTTGGGCATTTGTCTTTTTGGCCCCCTGCACTCTGTGCCGCCCTAGCTGACCGCCATCTTCTTGCTTCCACTACTGACCAAGCATGCCCGGCCTGGCCCTTTACGAGGCAGCTCCTGGCCACACAAGGCTTTCTTCCCAAAGTCATGCATGGCGATTTCCTTGCAAGGCCTGGGGAAGATGGCCTCATGTGGCCAGCAGTTGCCTTGCGAAGGACCAGGACGGGCATGCCTTGTCAGCAATGGGAGCAAGAAGACGGCGAAGGTCTGCTGGAGCACAGGGTGGCAGGGGCCTTGGAATGCAGGGTGGCAAGGGTGACTGTGGCTGGGACTGGGGTGGGGAGGCTTTGCACTGTGCTTGCTGGGGCTTCCCGGATACTGTGGCTTCCTGCTGCACTGCTGGGGTTTCCTGGGTGTAGCGGCTTTGAACCATGCTTGCTGAGGCTTCCTGAGTGCTGCGGCTTCACACCATGCTGCTGGGCCAGGTTGGGACAGCTGAGGCTTCCAGGGGCAGCTGCAGCTTCACACTGTGCTGTGGCCCAAGGGCTTCTTGCAGCCACAGAGCTGTGGCATGCCAAGATGTCTGAGCCACAGTGTAGCAAGCAGCCCCAGAGCCACATGGTTTTGTGGCTGCTTGCTGCCCTGCAAGGCAGGGTGCAGGTGGCCAAAAGGGCAGAAATGGGGGAGAATAGGCAGTTGTGCAGAACTGAAGGGGAGACAGTCCCTTACCTTACTAAGGCTCTGGGCTGGGAGGGAGCAAGCAAGCTGGGAATGGCTTAGATTGGAGTGGGTCCTCACCTAATGACCTGCGCATCTTGGGGTTACAATGGCAACCAGGACTGCCTGGGATTGATGTTGCTAAGCAATGTGGTCATGTGATGTCATGCTTTACAACCGCACTGCTTAGCGACAGAAATTCTGGTCCCAATTGTGGTTGTAAGTTGAGGACTAGCTGCATATGATAGCTAAGTACATGCAGTCTAATTGCCTATCCTAGACTTATCTGTCACTGGCTGTTTCTCTATTATTTGCTACCTGACAAACACTACTGCAAAGTAGAAGAACTTGTAGGCAATAAACACAGCCACTGAGTTTGGTAAGGGGATGTTGGTGCAGTGGCTGCAAGGCATTTTTGAGTACCCTTGAAACCAAAGCCCTTCCTCTCGTGGGAAGGACTGAACTAGAGATTGATTACTATAGCTACACTATAGTTACACTGAGGGTTGGGAAGGAGGTTAATTATAACTAGAGTTTGGGTGTTGTGTGAACAAAGTCTATGTCTGCTTTGGTAGCTAATGCAGAATTGCTGTGTAACAATTTATTAATTAAATGTCTTTATTAAATTTTACATAGTCACCCATCTCATACTTGTGACTCAATTGCAACTGACAATAGGGCCATTGCTGAGGGATCTTTGATATTAAAGGAAAATGTAACCAAGATGCAAATACGGTACCTTGTCCTTAGTTCTCCTGGGAAGTGTGGCTCTATCAGTACTAAGCGGTAGCAAGTTGTCTGATGGGAAACAGAAACCACAAGCCTGCCATATTCAGGCTCCACTCACACATCCCCTCTGTCTGAGTTCCAGGGGATCTGGTTGTAGCTGTTTCCCAAGTGAAAGGGATCCACTCAGGCAGGTAATTAAATGCCCACAATCTGTTTTTGAAGAGGAGGTGCCCCATGCTTTCACCTGGAATCTGGGTGGGATGGAACAGAAAGTTCCTTCTCCAGGCTAAGCGTTTCAATAAATCACCCTAAAAGGCTGGCAATCATTAATCTACTGCAGGCAAATAGGCGAAGAGATAGAGGGACAGAAATTGTGAGCAAAGATAAAAGTGCCCAACTGAGCAAAGCAGCGTTGAAAAGAAATAAAATATCCCTGATACTTCTGTCTATACTTTCTCTGCCACCTTGATCTTACTGGTTCCAGTTCTCCCATTGCTCCATTGGGCACAGAGTCTGAGCCCCACATCCAGTCAGGAAACCTGCTGCTATAACATAACCCTTGCTGGTCTCATGATCTGAGGCCCACTCAGACTGGGGGAAAAGAAATCCCCCTCCACATCTCTCACTGGAAGAGGACAGTGGCTTTATAGCTTCTGAACCCCTAAATCTGTAAGCAAAGTGCTAGATGGCAAATCTATTGCACAACATTAAAACAAAAAAAAGAAAGAAAAAGCAATAAAGCGAGTTTCAGTAGTAGGGTTACAAAAGTATTTGCACATTCTCAGAGCTGGGAAAACAAATGCTGGAGCAAACCCAAGCTTCAAAGGAATGTAACTGTGAGCGCAGTGCTGGATGGCAAATATTTTAATGTAACTATATAATTAAGAGAATGAGTTTGTGCCAACTAAACAAATGGTTCAACATCATCTAGCATCTAAATTCCCCCAAGAGTAACGTAGCTGTACCTTGCAGAAGATGGTAAACACTGTATCATACTGGTAACTCATTAGTAAGCTGCTTCAAGTCCCCTGAAGGAAACTGATATCGAGGAACTAGTGTTTACATACATACATACATATATCCGTCATGCTATTCCTTTGGTGGTGACATTTCCCAGTACTTAGCTTACCTTGATGGGATTTCAGACGGAGGTCTTTGCCATCATTCATGATCAGGGGAAATGTGCCATCAAGCTATAGTTCTTCCTGTCATGTGCCTTCCTTATCGTAAAGGTCTTTCACTTTATTATCTTTTGGTTCTGCAATCACCATAAAACTCTCTTCTGGTTTAGAAATTCTTTAAGTTTCTAAGTTAATGTAAGGGGGATGGGAATGGGGAAGATATAGGATAGCACAGATACAGGTAGGCCTCGTTTTGCGACTGCAATTGGTTTTGGCAAGTTGGTCATTAAGCAAAGTGGTCGCTAAGTGAAAATCACATGACCATGACTGTGCTTAAGATTTTACTTCGGCTTTCCTTTGTTTCACAGTGTCAGAAGGATATGACCCCTAACAGCCGGGTGAACCCAAACAGCAGGGAAGGTTTCCGGAAATCAACTCATGAGGAAACTGGGTAAAAGGGCAAATCTTATAGCCCTTTCCCCCCACTCCCCCGCCCTTTGGAATGCTCACCCGAGCGCTGGGATAATTAGCAAGAAGAGAATTAATGTTTGTATTTACATTCATTGGAGAGGAAG